TGAAGACAGTTTGCACTACTGTATATTATCATTGATTCAACTAGTACATCTGTTAGGAGCGATTAGGAGTGTTCTACTCCATGTGTTGAATTTTCTCCTCAAGGCTTCTTATGAGCTACAGCATATGGTCCATAGAGTTCTTGTAACTTCTATATAGTTCTTGAGGTATTATATTACTACTAGATACTTCGCTAAAAGGAGCTCTTCTTTTTCTTTTTCTAATTTCTTTGCTTTTCTTTTTGGAGTATGCATCTCTTCATTAGAATTCTTTGTCTAAGTTTTCAGTATCTAATACTTCATCTTTGCTTGATTCAGTATCTGAAGAACTTGAACTCTGTATATTTCAGTTATAACTTTCTTTGTATATCTTGTTATAATATGTTTTCCTTTTCTCCATATCTATTTTTTTACTCTCTATTATTTCATCTTTTTCTTTTGCTCAGTTGAGCCTAGTGTTAGAATAGAATACTGCAAACTTTTTTATGCAGTCCTTTTTATTTTTAAAATATACAGTTGCACTTCTTCTGCTATTACTGTTAGAATTTCTAAAAATATATAATACTTTAGCACCTATACATTTTACTTGTCTCTATAAAAGGACTTCGTTAGTGTCTTCTGGCAAGTTAAGCAATTTTCTGCTGAATATATTATGTACTTTCAACTCCTCAAGATTGTATTTTTCTACTGCAACTCTGACTAGTTGATCTCTTATGAAAGGCAAGCATCATGTCTCTGCTAAAACTTTTGTATTTGTTGTATTAGGAAGGAAGCTTGCTTCTGCTCTTGTCTTATCACAGAATTCTTTAATCATTTCTATATGAGCTACTTTTCCTAGATACCATATTATTTCAAAGACCTAAGATCTTCTTGTCCAGGTCAGTAGATTCCATATTGTTATATAGTCTTTATTTGTTTCTAATATTCTTTCCTTATCTTGTCAATTGAATATTAAATTATTTTCTAATATGGCTATATGTTTTGAGGCAGAGTATTGAGATATTTTTTCTTTTCTTTGTTTAGAGATTTCTTTGAGCTCTCTCTTTGCTCTACTTTCCCTCTCAGCTTTGCTTTTTTCTTTTTTTGTATTGTTTAGTGATTTTTCTTGTAATTTTTTGTTTGTAGATATTTGCTAGGTCACCTCTCATATAAGTCTCAATTTTTCAAAGTCTTCTTTAAAGTTTTCTAATTTTACTCTTGTTTCTTTGTAACCTTTTTCACAATTGAAAGTAATTATATACCATAGGTTTCTTTTTTCAAATTTCTCAAAGATCTTTTTTTAGATATATATTCTCTCTAAGTGACTATCTAAGAGATTTTTCTCTTTGCTTTAAATTATTACTAAGCATATTTATAGCAGCCACCTTTGTTTCAATATTTTCTCTGTTTATGCAGCTTTTTTTTTTTTGGAGCCTATATACTTTGATCTAGAAAAACTTCTTTGTATACTTCTAGATCCACTTCATTATCTGCTTGTTTCTTAGCTTTAATATCTTTTTGATCAAGTATAGCACTTCTTGCAGTTTTGCTTGTTTTGATATCTTTTATATCCTTAAATATATTGCTATCTGCTTTGGTAGTTGATATGAGTTCACTGTTTTTTTTTTTTTTTTTTAAAAAAAAAAAACTGCAATTAAGTGTACTTTATTAAGTTTAGACTAATTTATTATTACATATTTAAAAGTAAGAAAAATTTATGTATTTTTTAAGCTTTTTTAGAGAGTGTGAGCTTTTGCTTTTTTCTAAAGTTTTTAGAACATAGAGTTCTTTTTTGAATTTCTTGTTTACTACATTAGCAATTATATTTTCTGGGATTATATTATCATCCCATTTAGTCTCAGTATATCAATACCAGATTTCATAAATGATGTTAATATGTACCTAAATTGCTGCATTTCTTTTCTCAGAATTGTGAATGTTAGTTGCGAGAAAGATATCCTGTATTGTGTTTGAGTAGGTTTCAGTTAATGAATCCTTAAGTAGTATGTATTTCTGTTTCCAAATTATTTCACTTATTCTATACTTCAGAGCAAAATACTCTAAAGTTTGAGTTGAAAATGGGCAGCCTGGGCAGTTAATATCAATATTATTTGAGATATGGTTTAGTCGATATTCTAGTGGAAGTACTCTATGCAGCAATTACCAAAAGATATCTTTTTTTTTGTTCTGAATAAGTTTTAGATTTATCTAGTTGTAGAGGTTTTCTGACATTATCTCCTGGCTTATATTAAAAGGTGGTAGAGAATTTGTAAGCTTTTTTTGGAAAGATTTTGTTGTTTCTTTTACTGAGTAGTTGTTTGCTATGAGGCTACCAATTTTGATTTCTTCTAGGGTTCAAGACCAGGGTCCATCTCCAAAAATTTGGCCTTCAACTCTTTTTCAGGCTTTTAAGTATGGTCTCTACCTTTCTAGCTAACCTTTAATTTGGTATTGTTTCCAGTCAGAGTTGCTTTAATCATGATTCCCCTTTTACTGCTTAGTTCAGAAGCTATAATATCTCTCTCAGTATTAGCTCAGAAGTAGTTCCTAGAGAGAAGTTTTATCTATATTAAAATGAGTCTTAAATCAAGCATATCATTTAGGACTGGAGCATTTAAGCTACCTTGCTCTAGATTTAGTTGAAATATAGAGTAGTATGGAAGCATCCTGGAGTTGCTCTTTATCTACTTGGTAATTTTAGTATTGATCTCATTTAGCTGCTTTTTACTAGGTGGTAGAAGGTAGGCTAAGTACCAAATTTTAGATATAACTAGTGATTTGGTGAGTAATATCTTCTCTTTAAAAGACAAGTTGCGAGTTGCAAGATGCTCAAGTTTCTTCTTAATTTTCTTAATCATAACTTGCTAGACATCCTTGGAGAGGTTGCCTTTGCTGTTGTCTTTGTAAATTTTAAATGTTTCTGAGTTATCAAAATAGATCCTTTTTGCATTTTCTGTGAGTGGTACTAGTGTGGTTTTGTTTTTGTTAACAAGTGCATTTGAGGCAAGCTCGTATCTTAGTGTAATGTTTTTGAAGTGCTTCCAGTTTGTTATGGAGCATAATCCTATTGTCAGGTCATCAGCATAGGCTATGACCTTAAATATATAGTTATTTAACTAGATTCCTTGAACATTCAGATATTTTGCTTGCATCTGTAATAAAGGCTTGCTGTGATGCAAAGAGAGAGCTAACTATCTGAATAAACTTTGAGTCAAAGTTCATTTTTTTGAGAACTAATTGAAGATATGAGTAATTAACTCTATTAAAGGCCTTTTGTTGGTCGAGTAGAAGGTAAGGATATCTAGTGCTGTATCAGTTATAGATCTGTTTTTGATAAAGGCCTGTTGTGTTAGTCCAATGATCTTATCACATATAGGATTGATTCTGTTAGCTAAGATTTTCATAAATATTTTTGCATCGCTGTTCACTAGAGAGATTGGTCTCTAGTTATTGATATCTTAAAGATTATCTGCTTTTTTGGGTATTAAGGTAATAATACTTTTACTCCATGAGTTTGGCATATCCTCTGAGTCTAGTATATCAATAAAGAGGTTTGCTAGAAGTAGCAGAATTTCCTCTTTTGTATTCTTGTAGAACTTATAAGTGAGACTATCAGATCCTAGTACTTTGTTATTAGGTAATTCATCAATAACCTTGCTAATTTCTTTCTCACTGATATTTTTGACTAGATGCATGTTTTGGTCCTCTGACATCTGAGAGAAATTCTGAGTAATCTCTTCTGCTGCTTCTAGATTATAGTCATTCACTTTATAGATCTTTTGATATGTAGACCTAATATAAGCAAGAGTATCTAGTAGGTTGTTTCTACCTTGATTGTAAAGTGAAAAGAAGTATTTGGTTGATTTTTCACCATCTTTAATCCATTTTGCATTAGACCTTATTTGCTATTTTTCAGAAAGTGATATTAGTTCTTCCTGGATCTGAGTTTTTAGTTGCTCTGTTATGAGATGGAAGTCAGTTTGTTCAGGGTTTGTAGCCAATTTGATGTTAAGCTTATTGAGTTTTTTATATAGATATTGCATGTTTTTCTCTGAGGCAGGAGCCAGTTTGTATGCTCTAATTATTGACTGGATGATGTATTTGTGAAGGTTCTAGTCTTTGATATCATTGATATTCTTAATTTTTGCTAGAATCTCAGATTTTAACATATTATTAGCTCAGTATTTCTTGTCAAATTTCCAGTAGGCTGTAGATTTGTAAGTGGATCTGAGGCTGATTCTGCTCTCTACCAGGAGGTGATCAGAATTTCTATATCGAGTTGAGGTTTTGAAGTTAAATTGTCCAAAGCTTGTATTAACAAATATATAATCTAAGCGTGTTGCTATTTGCTAATTGTTTTGTATATTCTGATAGAAAGTAATGAAGGGATCATTCTTCATAAAACTAGCAGTATCAATGAAGTCCTTCATTAATTCTTTGAGTTGGTCTCTTGATTTGTCATGATGTAGAGGTGCTTAGCTTATGCAGTTGATTTCTGGATCTAGATTTGTATTAAAGTTACCTGCTACTATATATAAAGCATTATCACTTACTATTGGTGCCCAATTGTTGAAAAATTGATGTCTTTGCTCCTGACTCAAAGAAGCATAGACATTTGTGGCTACAAATTATTGTTGTTTAAAAGAGAAAGTAACTGTGATAACTCAGTTGTTGTGAGTAATCTTTTTGTCATTAAATTTTATATTTGGTTTACTAGCTAAAGTAGCAGCTTTAGATGACCAAACAGAGTTGTATCCCTATTGTTAAGAAAGGAATTTTCTTGTTGTTAAATCATTTAAGTTTGTTTCTTGAAGTAGTATTAGATCTAGTTTGTAGGATTTTAACAGTGTAAGAGTTTTTTGGGCCTTAATAATATTGTTAAGGCCTTTGACATTTAGTATGGCAATTTTAATCATATGAAAAGATTGAGGTATTAATAAAGCTATTAGCTACATGTATAGTGGGTATTGCTATTAATCTTGTAAGCAAAAAGCCTCTTTGAAAGTAGCTTCCATTTCTGCTACTTAGTTTCCATTATTTGAAGCTTGGAGCTTTCTTTTATTTCCTTTTTTCTTCTTAGTTGATACAGATGTAGTTTTTGCCTTATCAGTATTAGATATGTTTTCTTCAAGTTCAAGAGTTGCAGAATCTGTGTTTAAAGATTCTGTTTCCATTTTCATTTCTTTGTCTCAGAGTAGAAGTGATATTGCTGTTTGGTGTTGTAATCTATTAGAATTATTCTTTGAGTTCATAAGTTAAACCTTATCTGTTTATAAATTAGCAGGTGTAGGTTCAGTATCCAGTTCAGCTGAGTTATCAGAATTTCGATAGCCATATCAGTAACATAGAAGTTATCTGAGCTGAAGCTAAATTGGATATTAGTGTTAGTCTGGTTTTTGAGTTTGCCTTCTCTTAGCCTTTTTAATTCTTTCTGTTTTTGTCTTTGATTTAGTGAGAACTAAAGCTCTTCATAATCTTTTTTGATATGTCCTATTTTTTTCACAATAGTAGCAGACTTTAGATGCTTCTTTCCAGTCAGTTGTAATTTTATAATCACTAATATATATCTGTCTTGGTATTCTCTGTGCAAGATTAGGGTCATCAGTTGTCTCAAAAGTAATTATCCACTAATCTGAGCAGACTGTTGTTTCTTCATATGTTAATAGTTTAATAGAGACGATTGTGTCTATATCTTGAAAAGCATCCTTAACTAGATCATTAATGGGGCCTTTATCTCCTATAGGCATGTTTCTTAGCTTTACTGAGAGAAAGCTGCACTTGAAGTTGATTGGGATATATCCAAATAGAGTTTGGTTAAAGATATTGATCTCCTCTGTTATAAATCTTTGTTGGATCTCTTTGCTAGAGAAGACAATCTCAAGATATGTGCATTTTTCTCTGAATAGATGAGTTTTTGCAGCAAGTAAATTGTTACCTAGTTTTGTAGCAAAAGCTAGAATAATATTATTAGTTGAGATATTTAGAAGGTCCTAAATATCAAAGATTAGAGTATTCTCATTCTTAGAATGAATTCTGTATCTTGGAGTAGCATTAACAAATGTAGCTTTGCCACCTTTTAATTTAGAGAATAAGTCAGACCATTGTTTACCTTTAGTAGGGTTGCTTTTTTCTTGATCAGGTTGTTGATCATCTGATTCCTTGTTAGATTTATTTGTATTTGTTTTGTTTGACAAGTCATGTATAGTATTTACGTGTTTTTGTTTGTTTTCTAAGTTTTTTTCTATCTCACATGTTTTATTTTCTTTATCACTTTCCATAGAAGAAATTTCTTTGTTTTTCTCTTTATTCTTCAGAAGAGGGTCTTCCAAGTTAGACTGAATATTTTCTTCTTTTTGCTTACTCATTTTAGAGGAGCTCTAGTTCTCTTCATAAGTTTCCTTAAGAATACTATTGTTTGTTTCTTAGTTTTCTTCAGTTGATAAAGACAAGTCAAAAATCTTTTTTTTTAGTTCTTGTATCTACTGTCTTAGATCTTTTTCTTGATGAATCACTGATAGTTAGGAACTGAGGTTTTCTTTTCTTTGTAGTTAGAGCAGATACCCTTTTTCCTGAATTTTGTAAGAGTTTTGTAGAGATTTTTGATAAAATTTTAGTAGTTTATTAGTTTTCAGTAGTGAACCAGAAAGAGTTTTTAGTTTTATAAATGAGTTCACTGTTTAAGCTCTTTAATTCTATATAGCTTTGAGAGAATACTGATATATGCGAAGTTGCTTATTCTTCTTCTTCTACTTTCATTTCAATTTCTTCTGTCTTTACTTCTGCTTCTTCTGTATAACTCATTCTTTTTTCTTCTTCTAATTCTATTAGAGCTCTTACTTCATCGAATCTATCTGTTATTGCAGCTCTTTCAATTACTGCATGCCATTGTCTAGCTATTTTGACAATTTTTAATTCTATACCCATCAACTCAGCTATTATTTTGTCTAGATGCACTTCTAAATCTAGCACTGTATTACTTCCTTTTATTGCTATTTCTTTATCGTATTTTTTAATTACTTCTTTAATTAGTCTCTTAGTCTTTCTTTTTTCTATATTTTACTATTCTATATGAGTTGCTTGTTTAGTCTAGAGTGC